ATTTTACGGGAAACATTAGAGATTAAATATCACATAATCGATCTTTTTAACTAAAGATTAAAAGCGATTTCTGTCACAATTATTTAATAAAAATATATAACGAATAAACTAAAACTTTTGAATGTAATTCGATACAATAAATATAGGAATAAAGTAAATAGGAATGTTTTTTTTTGCGTTGTCAAATAATCTCGAATGAGAATAAATACATGAAAAACTATAATTGTAAAATCGAGAGAAAAATGAGTTATATTTTATTTATAACGATTGTTATATGTTTTTTGCCATTTACGTTTGAGGTTCATGTGTGCAACGAGGAAAAATATTTCATATGTCCTCTCACTCCAAAATGCAACGCTCTCCGAGCTTCCGCTTTTTGGGTTGCAATCGTTGTTTGGAAAAAAATATAGTTTCGTTTCAACCACGCGTTTTCAATTTTGGAGTTTGCACAAGGACGCAGGCAAATCGAGTGGACACATCTCGTCCTAAATTTTCAAACAATTTTAGATATTATACCATCGTTTAACTATCAAAACGCATATCGGAGGCGCGGCAATGATATCACGCGCGAATTTATTTCTCCCTTTTTAATTTTCCACCGCCATATCCCTTTAATACATACTGCGCGGCTGTTGGCGACAGACGACGATAAATTTGCGGGAGAGAATCGCGCGCGATTCGCGGGAGCTCGCGGTTTATCGCGCGCGCGGCTAGCTGCCACAGTGATTTATCACGTGCGTCGTCGCGCGAATTCTATGCGCCAGATCAAGCGCATCGGAGTCTGCCGTCCAGGAAGTCGCCTGATGAGGTAAAGTTTCGCGCGCGAAACAACTCTAATTTAACGAGATTCAATCGACCGTAATTAATGATGTTGCTTTTGTCGATGTTTACATCCCGACCGGAATATTATATAGCAATAAGAGCTAAATTAAATTAGTTGTTCATCAAAATCGTAATTTTAATTAACTAATTTAAATATATTAATTAATTTAAAATAATATAAATATATTGCACATCTTTTGCTGCACTTTATAACTCTTCGTTCGAAAATGATCGAACCGTATCGCACGATAAATATTATATGTAAACTCTCTCGGATTTGCTTTAAATTTTACGCTTCTCTAGTGAAAATAGATTATTTAAAAACTCAATACAGTTTTATTGCAATTATATAATCATATTACGTGGCTGTAATTATACGTGAATGATGACTCTGAATTTTTTGTTTTAACTACTTAATTTGATATATATTTTTATAGCGTAATGTCACAAAATAGATTCGCATAACTTTGTTAAAGTGTTGATAATGTTATCGCGAATATCTGTCGTATTTCTTAAATTCCCGCAATACATAAAAAAAACGCGCGATATATTCTTATATTATAATTTATATTTTGATAATATCCCTGTGGAAGCGCGAAGAGCATTAAAAATATCAAAGCGAATCACTGTGTATGAGAGAGTAGAGGCCTGCAGAATCGCAATGGAAAAGGAATATTTCGAGGGCGGAGGGCGGCTGTGGAGGTCAAATAACCCTCGGAAAATTCGCGACCGCTATCGGAGTTTCGCGGCAGGCGGGTATTCAAAGGCTTTCGTTAAATCGTACTTAAAAGTTAAAGGCCACTGTATACGCGAAATGCCTAGTCGCGCATACGGCGGTTGTCAGGCGGGAAAGAGAGGAGGAAACCTTTGGTGGAGGGGCGACGGGTGAGAAACGCGCGACGGGTACCCGTGAAAGCAGAACTTCCAGATGATCAAAGAGCGTTAAAAGAGGATTAGGATGCCTCGGCCGCTACTCGTCTTACGACGTGTCCGTGTACACGCGTGCGCGCGCGCATGTGTGCGTGCGTAGCAAGAAGAAATTAACGCAAAGGATACTCGTTCCTGTTGTTGATGACGATGATGACGCATGCGATATAGTCTCCCTTCTTTATACCGCGGATACGAGATGTGGATTTATTTTTAATTAACCATTCATTGTGTCGGTTCATGTTTCTCGTATATTTCAGCGATCTAATTTTATTTATATTTTTCATTCTGATTTAGCTTTATTTTCGCACAAATAAAAAAACTATCAAATAGTTCCGATAATTTTAATTGTTAAATGCAATTGAGTATATTTAATTGTTAATGAAGTTGAAAAATATTATATAATTTAAAACAAAGTACGCCAATCATATAATGGCAATTATAAAATAATATTTAAAAAAATATATTTATTAATTAGATAATTATATATAACTGTCGTTTATACATAATTATATAATAATAAGATATTGATTTATAAAATTGGGCAAATTTTTATAAGAGACTACAAGTATTACTCATGATTGTATTCTTGTTCAAAATAGTATTGTACTTTTAACAATCTCAATTCAGAAATTATTCCAAAAATCAAGAGAAACTATAGCATAGGATCATAGAGAAATATTTATACAAAATAACTCGATAACTCACCTGTAATACTGTCTTCATCTTGATGCAACCCCGTACGTTAATATAACTGCTGTTCACGTAATAACTCTTCGTATTTTTACTCACACACGATCACCGTAGTTCATATCGATCATCTTCAATCCACGCGTATGTAATAATGCGAATCTATCCTCACGCGGATCATTTTTAGTCTCGTCAGAGAATCACAACAGCACTGCGTTCTTCTATCGATCCATTCGTGTTGTTGACATAAAACTCGCCGCAGGATATTTTTTCCGATGAAGTATTGCGCAACCGCAATCGATTTGAACACGATAGTATTTAAGCAAGGGCTGAACGTGTCCCGAAAGAGTCACGTGGTGCGGATACGTATCTGAATGCGCGTGCACCAATCTCGCTCTCTTCCTCAGCGTCTCGCTTGACGGTTCAGAGCACACTGCCGTCTCTTTTCGCTTCGACCGCTTCCTTTTCTTCTCTCCTTCTTCGCTCCTTCTACCGATGCACCCTTCTTCTACCAAAGGCACGAGGGACCGGGTACGCGCACGTGCCGGGCACGATCGACGAAGTAACAGCGACTGACACCTCCTCTTCTTCTCGCCCGATTTTTCTTCCTTCTCCCGTTTCCTCTCTCCCGACGTCCACTTCAAATTTCGGAACACCCCTTCAAAGTTGACGATTCTTATGCAAGTTCACGCTAAGAATATTTAGACAACGCTCCTTATTTGATTGGATAAGTTCTCCAAACCTAAAGGACCATCTCAATGGGAGAATTTAATTTCGATCAAAATGATTTGATTAATCGATAAGTAAATGAGTATGGTGCGTTTGAACATCTTGTAATATCTTGTAATATCTTGAGAAATTGTACGGCACAGCTGCTCAATACTCCTTACACTATCGGAGTCGGAGACCGACTGACAATCGGGCCAGCTCAAACCGTGCGAAGTAACCAGTAAAAGCATGTTGGCGAGAGGGGTAGGGAAGAGCAAGAAAGAGAGAGTTAAAATGAGAGAGAAAGAGACGGAGCGAAGTCTAAAGGGTGGTGGAGAGCTCTTGGTTCTCACTACCACGTGCAGGATTGTTTTGACTAGAAGGTTGCGCGAAAATCACGGACGCTTCGCTATCGATTCGGTCAAGTATTTAACTTAAACCGTAATTTTATTATGCATTTTTTAATTGATATGGTCTACAGAAAAATAGATCATACATGATTTATTTTTTTATATATAAACCAATAAGATAATTTTTCATCGATCATATACTTTAATTAAATAATACTGTCAATATAAAAATGTTATGCTTAATACTAAAAACACGATTTAATTCTTCGTTATTTAACTTGATAATATTTGGATTTAATAAATCTTTATAATTAATAATAATAATTTGGAGTGATTATGTGATGTGACATCACAATTTCAATTAATAAAATTATTGATTCAACATATAATTGCGTTACACGCATATTCCTCAATTAATATAAAATGTAAGATATATATAATAACAATGTAATAAATAAAAAGATATGATATGATATCATCAAAATATATTTCAATTATAAAAAAATTAACATTTACAATAAAATGATTAAAAGTAATAATACTATAATTTTATAATCCTACTATCAGAATTATCCATCTATCATTGTTCCTTGTTCCATGGAAATGAATGATATTAGTATCTGGTGTAATAGCTCTGGTGTAACAGCTCTTTCATCGTTATATATAAGGAAGACTGATAAACGCTCTGCAAATGAATTCATTCAATGATTTATGATTTCTGTGTTTTTAATAATAGAATATAATTAGATCGCAATATTTGATTTCTGCTTGATAGCAAATTTAATTGAAATAATCGCGATCGATAATAAGCACGACGATACACTCATATCTTGTATCTTTTGATTTCCGAGCATGCATTTTACGTAGAATCTTGAATTAATTTTTGATTCATTCATCATTGACAGATAAATTATTGTTGACATTGCGTTGCGCAATATTATCGCATAATATTTGCACTCAATATTATATAAAAATCGTCAAGCAATAGTGTACCGTTAGAGACACAGAGTACATTTTTTCCGTATAATTGCGATTTAAAATGGTTTTATGATTTATTTTATCGCATATTAACACGTTATTCAATTAACAAATGGCATGTTGGCCATTGAATGTAGACCATACATATTTGTCGATTTTTTTCATTCGCTTCTTTTGCTAATTGAAGCTTAAATTTATAATTTCATTTGGCCACAATTCACAATATCGAGAAAACATCAGAAAACAACGAACTCATTTTCTATACTTAGTGTAAAGCAGAAATTCTGATATTTTATTATAAATATATTACTATGATAAATAAATAACAAATTAATAATGCTGCATTATAATTGCATTCACGCATATTTTAATATTTGCAATAAATATATCAAAAAATTTATTATATAAATATGTTTAATTCTTATATCGAGAAACCATTAGATGCATAGATAAATAGCTCGCCGATTAAAACTAATAAATTTATCTTGGCTCTTAAATTAAAAATATTCCTTTATTATGCCAAAATTAAAAAGGTTGTGATAAATAACATATTTTCTATAGATTTTTTACTTCGAATCTGCCGCCGATTTTCCGATTCATCCGAGATGTTTGTTTAGACCTTCAATTACATTCCTTTCGCCGTTAATTTCCGACGCGTCTCGGTAATTAACAGTCTAATTCGCACAATTCGCTGCGCAGCAGCGTGGTTGGTTTTCCGGCGAGCGTTATAGACGACCGCCGCAAATAGCCGTGGTGCACCGTAATGCTGTCATCGCCGGTGTTGTTTGTCCCGAATGTCGTCGACGAAAGATCAAAGCTTGGGATATTCGAGGTCGCCGACAAAGGCAGCCGACGACAGCAGGTGCCCTTTTCGTGATCATAGAAACCTGCGATTCTTCTTCCGTGGCGTTCTGTTGCCTCATCAATGAGGATCAAGGATAACTATTGATCCGTGATTATTTCAATGGACATTCTCCAGTTCGAAAAATCGAATGGACAGGAACCTCAACATACGTAACAATGACGGGGTCTCTTACACCTGTTGACTGACTTCTCGTTGCTACCGTAATCGACCGACATTAATCTTAAGGGTAGGAAGGGTCGAGGCCTTCATCGAGGTTGCAGTTCGTTCACGCAGTTAATGCAAATTGCACGTGGGAGTCTTACGAGTAGTAATGAGGAGGATCTCTTGATCGTCGGTTATTTAGCAATGGGCAATTTGCAAGCCGCGTTATTAGAAAGCGGTGGATCCAGGCAAAGGGATTTCCTTGCAAGTCGCGCGATCACATGGTTGGCAACGGTTGATTTCCGGACGCATTTTATTACGGAACTACAACGTTCTATTTCCGTTACTTCCTTTTTAAAAAAAAATTAATATATTGTTTTTATATTACTAATTCTATTATTTGCATCAGTGACCGTCTTATAATTATAGAGGATTAAAAAATGTTTAATCTTTGTTACAATCAATAAGTAAAGAGGAATATATATATTTATATGTGATCGTAATTACTTTTATTATTTTCATTGGAAAATCTAGAGTGTAACTTGAATAAAATTTTAATAATAATTACAATAATAATTATAATTATATTTATCATTAAGAATAAATAGAAATATCTTTGTTATTTCTAATTATTTACTTGTATAATATATATTTTACTTTTAAAAATTTATTACATTAATTATCGTTGTCTTTAAGATATATATTGCCAAGTAGACAAAAAATTAAATATGTAATAATTAAACTAATTTAAATTAAAGTTCAAGTGTCGAATGGAAATAATCCTCTCTAACGTCAAATAAATGTATAATTTATCATATTTAATATTTAGATTAATTTCTAAGAAAGATTAATTTATAAGAAATTTTTGATTTTATTCATCAACTGTGAAACTGTGAACTGTTTTAAAACAAGGAACAACACAAGGACAAATAAAGAATGATGAAACACCATAAAAAAAAGATGTTTAAAATTACAATTAAGTAGTCACGCTTGCTGCAATTTCTTCTTAATTGACGACCCCCGAAACCGGGGGATAATTTGGTCATAGTAATGAACACTAGGAGAGCACACACTGCGTGATCGCGTGAGGCGGTCCCGTTTAACGTGTTGCAGTTATCGCTACGTCGTTAACATTCGCACAAAAAGAGCTCGTATATACCTTGACCGGGCGCCGCCACGTTAATGACACGTGTAACGAGATAAGGTAACGTAGGCGCGCCATACTATGCTCGCCATAAAAGCCGGTAGTCCATCGCGACGAGGCACTCGCCGGATAGTGCGTACTTATTGTTAGATACTTATGAGCGAGCAAGGAGGAGAAGAGAAGAGAGCCGGACGGAGGACGAGGAGGAGCGTGAAAAAGTCCACGCTCGAAAAACGGGTTTGCGGTGCCGCGGGTGCTGCCGGGTGCGTTGTAGTTTATCGTCGGAATCGTGTAGCACGTTACGGTACACCGCGATCATTAGCAGCTAGAAGCCGCCTGCTGCCGGCGGGAAGGCTGCACGATATTCTCTTTGATATCCGCTGGCTGTACCGACTCTTAACGCAACGACCGGAACCTCTATAGGCTCGGATCCTCGTGGCTTCAATAGAGACAGGGAATAAAGCCGAAATTTATTGTGTTCTTGAAATAATTCTTTAATGTAAATTAAGTAGAAGTAGGATTAATTGGAACGTGAACGGTAAAGGCAGACACGATGAAATGATTGAGTTCCGAATAAAGTGGGAAATGTAAAAAAATTGATTATAATCAAAAGTTATTTTTTTAAAGAATAGTACAACAGTGTAACATAATAAACAAAATATAATACAATAACAAATCTTAAGATGAATATAATGAAAAAGAAATTACATATTTACATATATATTTATTATAAATAATGAAAAATGTATGCAAAATGAAAAGTGTAATAATTGTGCAAAATCGATTTGATAGAACTTAAAAAGAAAAATGAATATTACACAGCAAGATAATGTTTTAAAACGAAAGTAAAGATTTTAAAAAAGGAAGACTAGAAATTCATTCTGCAATGATGGAATATTTAATCGATGCAAAAGTTTAAATGAATAGTTGTGAGTCTGAATAAGAATTATAAGAAAATATGTCATTTCATTTTTTTTCGTTCTCCATTTCTTCGAACTCAAAATATGCGAATATATTAAGGAGTTTGTTGTTACTAACATTACGTTAATCTCTTTCTCTTTTCCTTTTAGTTTGCTTAGTATAGAAATAGAATCTCAGAAAAATGCTTAAGAAAGTAGTCTAAGCAGTAGTCTAAGAACGAACTAAACAAATAATTCCTGTTCTTACTTTCCTACCAGCGCAGTCTCTCGCATTTCGGCACCTGGTGCCGCACCGTTTTCCACTTACATTAGAATTTCAGTCGAAATTCGACCGTGGCTTAACGTGGAATCTCCGACTGACCGAATCTGAATTTCAGTTTTACCCAAATTTGGCTTTCGACCGGGCGTCGGTCCGCATTTGCATGCCGTGAACCGCGCATAAATAAATAAATGAATATGTGAGCGTAATGGGACTGATAAGTAAATTTGCGTAAAAATTACATATACGTACGCTTTACAAATATCGAACGCGCGATATTCTCCTTCTTATTATATCTTTGATATCGGCGATTGAAGCGACAGCGTCAAAAAAGTGGCGATCAAAGCGAACGACGAGACATTATTAGCGGAGAACGTGTCTTCGTAATATTATCATATTAAATTAATGATAAAAGAAAGATCAGGAGCCGAGCATTGGAATTCTTTTTGTGAGTCATCATCGAACCGGTTGATACCAATTTAGGCCGATTTGCAAACCGAAGTACCAACTTCATGCTTGAAAAGTATCGAGGATATTTTGCA